TCAAACCACCACTCATCAAACCACCACTCATCATACACCACTCATCATACATCACTCATCAGATTTCGTGGCAGGTGCAGCAATTTGTGAACCTCCAGGTGCAGATTTCGTGGCAGGCACAGCGCGTTGTGAACCTCCAGGTGCAGATTTCATGTCAGGCACAGCACTTTGTGAACCTCCATGTGCAGATTTCGTGGAAGGTGCAGCACTTTGTGAACCTCCAGGTGCAGATTTCGTGGCAGGTGCAATACAAAATGCGTTTTCGAGAGATAGCGGACGCACGAAATGCTGTATTTTTCAATAGAACCGGTGGCTTCGAACCTGGCAAGTCTAGCTCTGCGGAACGACGGTTGCGAGACGGTCTCGGGTCATGGTCGGTCGGCCGTCCATTGTGATTAGGTTTTGCACTTGTCTCTTGAAGTGCAGATTTCGTGGCAGGCGCTGCACTTTGTGAACCTCCATGTGCAGATTTCGTGGCAAGCACAGCACTTTGTGAACCTCCATGTGCAGATGTCGTGGCAGGTGCAGCACTTTGTGAACCTCCAGGTGCAGATTTCGTGGCAGGCACAGCACTTTGTGAACCTCCAGGTGCAGATTTCATGTCAGGCACAGCACTTTGTGAACCTCCATGTGCAGATTTCGTGGCAGGCACAGCACTTTGTGAGCCTCCATGTGCAGATTTCGTGGCAGGTGCAGCACTTTGTGAACCTCCATGTATAGAGTTCGTGGCAGGCACAGCACTTTGTGAACCTCCATGTGCAGATGTCGTGGCAGGTGCAGCACTTTGTGAACCTCCAGGTGCAGATTTCGTGGCAGGCACAGCACTTTGTGAACCTCCAGGTGCAGATTTCGTGGCAGGCACAGCACTTTGTGAGCCTCCACGCGCAGATTTCGTGGCAGGCACAGCACTTCTTGAACCTCCATGTGCAGATGTCGTGGCAGGCGCAGCACTTTGTGAACCTCCATGTGCAGATTTCGTGGCAGGTGCAGCACTTTGTGAACCTCCATGCGCAGATTTCGTGGCAG